ATTTTGGTTACTTTTATGTATAACTATATTCCCAACAGTTTGAAATTCAATTTGAATGTATGACATATTTAAACAACATTTGTAAAAAAAAACAAAATTAGCCATATAAATAACTACACATATCAAGTCTTTGTAATCAAACAAAAATACTTCATTCATTACAATAGATACGTACAAATGCATCGGTCACAAGGTTATGCCTTCCATATGATCTGAACGAGCATATGCCACAGGCTCTTGCGGATCATCGTCAAGGTCAATATGAGGTCTTACATGAAGATTCTGGTTGTATTCTTCTTCATCGAAGACGTTGTCAACTCCTACAATTCGGCGCTTGCCATCCCTCACGATGTGCATCTTCTTGTTTGAAGTGTCTTTTATGTAGAATATCTGCTCGACCTGTTTCGCAAGTACAAATGGTTCATCGGCGTATCCCACCCTTGATAGATCTACTAAAGTGAAACCTTCCTTGTCGGCTTTGACACCAGTGTGTAGATTCACCCAACGGTAGCGGAACAAAGGAACCTTGAACTTGATGTAGTTTAGCTCCCAGATCTCCTTAATGCGGCCATAGTATGTGTTTGACCCAACTTGATCCTGGAATGCATCTATACGGACGCCGCTGTTTTGCAATGTGCTTTTGTCATCTTGTTTAACGGTGTAAAATGTGTATCCATTTATATCGTATCCTTACCATGTGTCTACGGTCCAAGACGATCCCATCCCCAACAACTGTACTGTCTCATTTGGGACATCCGTGGACATTGTCACACGATTCTTGAACCATTCGTTGAACCGAGAATTATATTCTCTATTAATCCATGTATCATATTGCCCAAGTTCTCATCTCGGATTTTCGCTAAGTGCTCCTCAAAGTATGGGCCAACTTCGGCCATATGTTGGAGCACAGCGTAATGAGCCTGCTCGTAGGACGCTTGATCGGGCCTAATTCATTTCCGTCCGATTGTGCCAACACCTGACAACCTTCATTCGTGACGAGACACTGGAACTCCGATAGGATCAGCATCGAACATGTAATTGACGCAGAACTCAATAGCCTCCTCGGTTGTGTAACCTTCAATGATGCTCCCCTCGGGTTTAGCTCTGTTACGAACGTAGGACTTCAGAACTCCCATGTACCTTTCAAACGGCCACAATTCCCTTAGAAAAGCCGGGCCACATAGTTTTGTTTGCTTCACCAGATGAATAGGGAGATGAACCATGATATCAAAGAAAGACAGTGGGAAAAACATCTCTAGGTGACAGAGGGTATTCACAATATCGGTCTGCAACCCATCTAGATTTTCTAGATCTATAACCTTCTGTCCGATTGCATTGAAGAAGGCGTACAGACATTGGATCGTGTGACGCACTTTCGGTGGTAGAATGCCTCTGATAGCTACTGGCAAGATTTATGTGATTAGCACGTGGCTATCGTGAGACTTCATTCCAACCAGTTTTAGATCGTCCAATTTAACATACTTACTTATCCTCGCTGAATAGCCCGATGGAACTTTAATATCCTTCAAGCATGATAACATTGCGATTTTCTCATCCTTCGACAATGTGTGGCAGGCTGGAGGGAGGTACACTCTACCTATCTCTGCATCTCGTATGGGCTGGAGTTCACTGCGAATATTCATGTCCTGTAGATCAAGGCGCGCGTTCAACCCGTCCTTTGTCTTCCCAGGAATATTCAACATCAGGCCAACCAAACTCTCACACACATTCTTTTCTGCATGCATGAGATCATTGCAATGACAGACATCAAGATCTTTCCAGTAAGGTAGCCGCCAAAATATGGATTTTTTCTTCCTCATACCCTTCTCCTTTGTCTTGCTACATTTTCTTTTCTTCCCAAACTCATTATTTATGTCCTTGACCATATTATGGACCTCATCTCCGGACAAATCCTTGGGAGCAGACTGAAGTTCTCTCTTACCGTTAAAAATTTTCTTCTTTCTTCTAAATGCGTGACGTAGCGGAAGTTACCTCCGATGACCCATGTATACCATCTTTCGTGATTTCTTCAGCCACCGGCTTCGTGTATGTTCCTTGCAATCGGAGCATGCCTTCTTTCCTTTTATAGTTTATTCGGAAAGATTACCGAGTACAGGGAGTCATTAATGGTGCAGAACAATAGAACTCTTAGCTTGAAGTTCTCCTGACCATATGCATCCCAAGTTTCCACACATTTCCAAAGAATCTCAAGATCATCGATAACAGGCTCCAAGAATACATCGATATCATTGTCGGGTTGCCTCGAACCTTGGATTAACAAGCACAACATAATATATTTCCGTTTAAAGCATAACCATGGCGGGAGGTTATAGTTCGCAATAAGAACTGGCCAAGTGCTGTGAGTACTACTCATGTCAGGATTCATGCCATCCGTACACAAACATATCCTCATTTTTCTAGGGTCGGCAGCAAAGTCTTTGTGTTTTCGATCGATATTCCTCCATTCAATCGAATCCGCTGGGTGTCTAAGCATGTCGTCATTCCTTCTCTCCGTGGCGTGCCAATATACTAACTTCGCTTCGTTCGGGTTGGCAAAGATTCTCTTGAAACGATCAATGATAGGTAGATACCACACAACCTTTGTCGGACCACCCCTCTTTGACTTCTTTCCTTCGTCAGCACTTTTCTTTCGCTTGTATCAAGAAGCCTTGCAGACAGGACTAGCATCCAAGTCCGCATATTGCTGGTGGTACAATATGCAGTCGTTTGGACAAGTGTGAATTCTACAGACCTCTAACCCCAGTGGACACAGAACCTGCTTTGCTTCGTATGTCGTCTCGGGCAATGTGTTCTCAGCAAGAAGCATAGTCTTCAAAATTCCTAAAAGATCTGTGAAACTCTTGTCTGTCCATCCACTACTTGCCTTCAGCTTCATTAGGTCCAAGGTAACTGACAACTTAGTGTGTTTTGCTTTGCATCCAGCGTACAGAGGCGTCTCAGAATCACTGACCAACCTACTGAACTTCATGGAATCTCTCTCATTCTGGGCTGGGTCCTCAACGTCACGTAACATGTCTTGCAGCAGATCGTATTCCACATCAACCATTTCACCGGCCAATGGAGAAGGTATAAACATGTCATGTCATACTCATCTTCATCTTCCTGATTATGCGCACCACTTCTGTCTGCTGTTGCTCCACTTCCTGATTCTTGCTCTCCATGTTTCACCCAACATGTATAGCCCTTCATGAATCCTCATTATATCAGATGACCGTGTACATCCTCGCCGCTATCAAATATATTCTCATTCTTGCAATCTGCACATGGACAACACATGTAATCGTTGTTTCTTCTTTTCCTATCCTCCTCCGCAGCGTTCATAAAATTTATTACGCCATTTCTGTACTCCGGAAAATGACGTTTCACATTTTTCGCATACATCCAACTTCGATCAATTGCTACAAAATAATAAAAACAAATTAGAGGCACATGTTATAAGATCAGTATTGCTAAAGTAATACGTGATGAAATTGCTCAAGTAATGATTAATATTACTCACTTGATTGCTCCATTTTGATCACTTTTGGGAATTTTCTGTTTTCCTTGGAAAAAAGACAAAGAATCGCCCCCTACAGCCTCCCACCAAAATAGTGAACAGTGGGATACAGTTACACTAGGTGGTGGGGGGTATTATACTGTGCAACAAATATCTGTAACGGCCCTAAAATAATCAACTGTGACGGGCATACAAGTAATCTCTATCGGGCCTTAATAAAAGCCCATCAAAGAAGAGTGTCATCTGTGACGGGCATTAAACTTATCTCAATCGGGCCTCTAGTTGGAGCCCGTCACAGATAACCGTCATCTGTGACGGGCTTCTTTTAGGGCCCGATTGAGATATGGAACCCTCATCTCAATCGGGTCTCAACTATGGCCCGTCACAGATAAGTGTCTTCCCTGACGGGCTCTAGTTTTATGCCGATCTACCATAGTTGTGCGACCATATCTCAATCGGGCGAAACTTCGGCCCGATTGAGATTACTTCCTTGTGACGGCCCGCAAATTCCAGTCTTGTTAGGGGCCGTCACGGATGAAAGGATCTGTACTAGTGTTGGTGGCCGTGAACGAGGCAGCCGCGACCAGCAGAGAAGGCTTTGGGCGGTGCCTGACCGACGCAGACCTCGACGAGCTGAGGGGCTCCTTCGAGCTCGGGTTCGGTTTCGACAAGGAGAAAGGAGGCGCCGGCCTCTGCGACACCCTCCCGGCCCTCGACCTCTACTTCACCGTCAACCGGCAGCGCCTCTCCGACGGCTCCAAGCTGCGGAGCCCCACGTCGACGCTGTCGTCGTCCACGCTGATCTCCGGCGCGTCATCGAGCCCTCAGTTTTCCCCACGCCGACGCATGGACGATCTTCTCTCCAGGTGACAACCCTCAGCTGATCAAGACACGGCTGAGGCACTGGGCTCAGGTGGTGGCTTGCTCCGTCAAGCATGGCTGCTGATGAGTCCTCCTAGTGATATCGATCAATACATCTTACCCTTATCAACCGTACACTGTTACCGAGAGAAAGACTGGCCTCGTGACTTCAGTCGGCGTGTCTCGTTGTCCGTCTGAATATTTGTCGTGTACAGATCGATCGAGGCTTAGTGCGTCTGCACTATGAATTTGATTGTACACAGTACACCGATTCTTTCATCTGCTGGCCTCCCTTGATATGATTTGTGGCTTGCTGCTTGCAATTGCCTCTTCCTTCCTGCCAATTCCATGGCAGCCCCGGCTGAGATCACAAATCTCTAGCCTGTAGGCCACATATCGATTACGAATGGACAATGCAGGTAACTAACCTCCAAAGGGGAAATAGCATAAATATACAGAGATAAGAGATGCAACTATAAATATGTGACCACCTGGTAACAAACATGATGGAAATGCCAGCAACCACAAGACAATGTATTCTCAGAGAGCAGGTAATATCTGGAATTGTTTGGACCAATTCTTTGAAAACAAGGTATACACATTGAAATGGACCAATGAATGAGTCGTGTACTCATAATCGGAAGTGCGATCAGCCTCATCGAAAATTGCAATATATACTACTAAAAGATTTCTCTGACATTGCTTATTTCGATGAAGTCAGCTCCAAAAATACTTCGGAATGCAGGATTTTTTGAGGAATTTTACAGGAAATGAAATTCCAGCAAAGGAGGATAATTCATGTCTCAAAGGAAATGAACTAATTTTACAGGAATGCAGGAAATGAACTAATTCATGTTCCAAAGGAGGCCACTCTACTGCACCACCTAGTCAGGAACTCAGGACTCAGACTAGGACTACAGTATAGATTGAAATCAATTTTGTCTAGTCTCTCATGCAGAAACTGCTGTACATAGCAACAAGTGTTGATAGACTGTGGAAGACTAATAATGGTTCTTAACTTAGGTATGCCAGAGACGCATCTGCCTATGCCTTCCAGAATAGATTACTTGCAGAACAAAGTATGTACAATGATTGGGACAAATAAAGATAGCATAAGAGAAATTCCCGAATCTAGTTACGATTCTTGGTAAAGAAAACTATCAGGATTTTCATACCACCCAGCAGGTGAAGCAGAGTGAGCAGAGCCCGCATCAAAAAATTCTTGTTCGGTACAAAGGTCAATGCCTTAGCTTTAAAACAACACAAAGGGCAACGCTGGTTGATCCATTCTACATATCCAGGTCATCTTATCAGTGCCATATAGGCTGTAGAACAAAATTTCCCAAGTTGATCATATGCTTGTGCTGCAGAAGCGATCAAATTATCCAAAGAAGCAAACATGAGGCAAATGAACCCTGAATAATTTGAAAGATTTCAGTACATATAGAGCATTCTACACAGATTACAGATGTGTTAGACCAACCTATTATATGTCAGGGAAACTACTCATAATTGTACAGCCTTGTCCATACTCACAATGATATGATGAAAACTAGGGGACATTTTGTGGTGCCTGAAATTGTAAGTACTAGAAGTACCTTTACTTTTTAGAAATATTGACAGGAAGGTATTAGTCACATTAAAGTGACTAGCAATTGATGTGTTCCAAGTGGATATACCTTAGTACCTTAAGCATTGTATACATCTTGAAAAAAAAAAGGTAAAGTCAATTGATCCGCATATAATGAAGATAAAAAAAACCATGGCAACAACACTACAACAGAATTATTTCATTGATCAACTATGTGTACTTTCAAAGCATTTGAATGGTCATGGGAGATATAGCTAGAATATGGGACAAATGAAACTTAATCAAATTCAAATAATTACTGGATGAAATATTCTCGATACAACTAGATGCAGCTAACAGTTTTTCCTTCTTAACATAGCTCCCAATATGCTGTCTAACAGTAAGCTCTTTCTGACAATTCGCCCAACAGAGTAGCTTCAATTTGCTACTCATAAAGTGAAGCAAAAGAAAATATGTTCAAGTGCTTGTCTAATTCTGAACTTCTACAAGTTGTACAACAATCAAATTGTCTGTTAATCCAGAGTTCACATCTAACCTGCTTCACATAAACGTTATTAACAATCAATTCAACAGTCACAACAATTAGTAAAGGTTTGGTTGCTACTAAAACTTTCGAAGTAACTATTCAGCAGCATACAATATCTTCATTCTTGTCATGCTTTATTAATGTTTCAGCAAACTTACAAAGCACAAGCAATGACAAATTTTATTTGCTCTACATCAGCAGACATTTGTTGCATTTGCATCAACATTGGAGGCAGTGCTACATTTTTCATGATACACATTACAGCAATTTCCAGGCAGTTAAATGCCAGAATTAGGATTGAACTTTCTATTATAAAACATGATGGTAATGTCAAATTTTGTCAGGACAAACTGCACAGACCATAAGACATGCATTACAGATACCATCAAAACTATCTTCAAACGACTGACACCAGATCTGAGCAGTAAAAAGTATGACATGTTTAACTGTGGTTTTGAGTCAGAAAATAAAACTCTCTACAGGTTCCCTCAAAAAGCAGTCATTCGCTACGCTTAACAGTTAAGATCAAGCAACATTTTTGTAACAATCAGAACAGTCTCCTATTTACATTTGACCTTTTTTGTCTTTAGCAGGAAAGAACAGAAGATGGTTCAAAACATTAACATGACTATAGATGATATGAATAAGAAATTTGTATTCGCTAACCTATAACTTGTATGCTCAGCGACAACTGAAGAATGCAGTATTGGCAGTATCTGCAGAGTTCATTGATGAAGCATTTGGTACTGGCTGTAGAAGAACTGGTGGCATCTTATCTGGTACCAATATCAACGGTGCAGTACCATCAAGCATACTGACTACCCTTCGCATACCAGGCCGCTTCCGGCAGTCTGGATGTACACAACACAGACCCACAAGCAGCACCCGTCGCATCTCATCTGCAACAAATCGTCCCTGGAGCCGCCGGTCTGCTGCATCAACCAGCCTTCGACGACCCCATAGAGTCCACACCCAATTAACAACAGAGATTCCCCTCTCAGCAGGCCTTCGTCCAGTGGCCACTTCCAGAGCAAGCACCCCAAAGCTGTACACATCAGACCGCTCTGTAGCCACCCCTGTATGAACATATTCTGGTGCAAGGTACCCCAGTGTGCCTGCTGGCTGTGTTGTAAGTGGCAACCCACCATGGCTCACAGTGCGAGCAAGGCCAAAATCACCTAGCCGAGCATTGAACTCTGCATCAAGCATAACATTTGATGACTTGACATCACGATGTATAATCCGGTTCTCACACTCATCATGCAGATATGCTAGCGCTGATGCAACACCATATACAGCCCTGAACCGTGCCTCCCAGGGAAGTGTTGCCCCACCCAGTGTGTGCAATGCAGAGTCTAGATTCCCGTTGGGCATGAACTCATAAACAAGCACAAGCTCATCCTTACTTCTGCACCACCCAGCAAGCGGCACGAGATTTGGGTGATGAGGGCAATTAAGCATGGCCTTGAGCTCACTGTCAAATGCCTTGGTGCACGATCCAATAGCCTGAAACCGTTTGACAGCAACCCTCGACCCAGAGGGGAGCACCCCCTCATACACAGTAGCACCAGAGCCACCAACGCCGATCACATTGCCACTGTCAAAGCCCTTTGTTGCTGCCCGTGCCACCTCCATAGAGAGTGTCGCTTCCCCCATGTCCTCGCTTGCCACTGCATGTTCTTGATTTTTGCGGCGCACTGACCGGCCAAGCAAGACAGCAGAACCAACGACGACAAGGCCCAGCAATACCATACCACCGAGGACTCCGCCAAGCACCTTGTAGAACAGATGGCGGCGGCGGTGGTTAGGGTGAGGGGGAGGGGGAGGGGAAGGGGGAGGGGGAGAGGGAGAGGGAGAGGGAGGGGGAGGGAGAGGCTGGTTATTGGGTGGCATTGGGCCTATGTACTTGGTCGGCGGCGGGGCGTATGAAGAGTTGGGGAAGCCGAAGGTGCGGAAGGTCCAGCGCTCGACGACGTGAAGCGCAGCGCCGTTGCCATTGGAGGCCGAAAACCCCGCGTACATGTAGGTGCGCAGGAGGCCGGAGAGGTCGACATCGGCCGAGAGGGCGGGCTTCTCGGGGCGGCGGGACGGCGAGTAGGACAGCCATACGTTGAGGCGGCGGCGCGGCGCGCGGTACTCAACCCAGGCGGTGATGGGCACGCCGGCCTTGAGGTCGACGCCTGGTTGCGCGGACGCGACGGAGAAGATGGACCCCGCGTCGAGCGCGACGTGGTTGCCGTCCGGGTCATGCAGCGCCACGTCGAGGTGGGTGTCGATCTCGACGGCGACGGTGGAGACGTCGCGGAGCTCCCCCTCGTCGGAGGCGGATGAGGAGGGGAACAGGCCAAGGAACCCGTTGGAAGCGCCGAGGAAAGTGCGGGAGGAGGTGAGGAGGAACGCGAGGCCGTCGCCGTAGGTGGGGGAGGGCGTGATGCGGAAGGTGAAGCGGGTGGAGAAGGAGGCCGGGGTAGCGGCACGCGAGGCGGAGGCGGAGGCGGCCGCGTCCTGGGGCAGGAGGAGGCGCACGGGCTCCGAGAAGAGAGCGCGGCCGGCGCCGACGCCGTCGCGGGAAGGGGTGGTGAGCGCGACGCCGGCCGCGCCCGGGAGGAGCGAGGCTGAGCCGAGGAGCGTGAGGTTGCTCGCCCACGAGATGCGGCGGTAGGAGGAGGCGGGGGCCGCAGCGATGCTCGACGCGGCGGCGGCGGAGAGTGGGCGGACGGCAAGGAGGAGGATGAAGAGGAGGGGGAGGCGCCTACAGCGTGGAGGCATGGCGATGGCGCTGCTAGGTGGTCACATTGTGTGCGGAAGAAGCCATGGATGGCGTGGGCACGCGAGGAGGTGGAGCTCGAGAAACCGTCGAGAATGGCGGTGGGGATGGGGGATTTGGGGAAGACAGAGAAGGGTTTTGCAATATGTTCTGATGACATGTGGGGTCCAGACACCCGCAGGCCACGCTGCGAAGCGAACGGATGGAAGACGATGCTCAATCTGGTCCGTTCAGTGGAAATCGTGGGGTAGGGAGCAGGGATTTGTTTTCCTGAGTTGCTGACCACTGACCAGCCTGGTGACAGCTATGAGAATTCCGAGAGTTAATTCAATCCATACGGCAAATATACTATCTCAGATAAATGTAATTACGATTCCTCTATTAGTAATCATGCCATTGAAATATTACAAAATTTAAATTGTGCCACTGTCGTTATATTTTTCATTCATCTCTTTTCTTTTATGTCTTCTTCATTCTCTCTTCCCATTTTCTTGCGTTGCGACGACGGGTAGCAGTGCGAGCGGCGACGGCGACGGAGGCGTGGCAGGTGGCGACTCGAGGACGGGACAGCGGGCAGCGACCCAGCAGCAGCGGCAACGATGACGACACTCTAGCGTGCGCGGGGAGTGGGAGCGGGAGCAGCAGCAAAACCCGGTGACGGCAGCACTCCGGTGCATGCGGGGAGCGGGGTGGAAACAACAGAATTCCTTGCGGCGGTGCCCTCTTCGTCAGAGATCCATGCGGCGCGGACCCGAGGTAGAGCTTACTGGGGTCGGGATTCTTCTCCAACTTTGGCTCATCGACGGTCTCTCATGTCCACCTGCATCATCTCTCTGCTCACTCATCAAAGCAATTGAACTCAGCGTCGCCTTCAGGATGCCCAAAAGACGTCGGGAAACTCGAGGTCTTCACCCTCATGCCGTCCGCTTCCCCCTTCAAGCCGTCTAGGATGCAGTGCTTGCTGTAGGAGTAGTCGGGCAGAAAACCACGTGGGGACGAACACCGTCGACGAGGGACTTCACCTCCTCCTCCTCCTCCGGACCTCGAGCTCTTTGGTCCCGATTCGTGCGGCATGTTGTCCCCATTTTTTATTTTTGTGAGAGAGATAGTGGTGAAGAGAGATGGAAAAAAAAGAATAAGGGAGGATGAAGGAAAAAGATGAATCTAAGGGTGGGTCCTATGTGCCAAATGACGAAGAAGATAGAAAATGTGATGGTAGTGGCACAGTTCTAATTTTATCAAATTTCAGTGACACTGTTATTAATAGATGAATTGTAATGACATTTATTTGAAACAGTAAAAAATTTTTGAGAAAACATACAATTTTGCAATTTAGGAATCATGCTCATGGCAAACGAGGAATAAGGAAAAATAACACACACTTATAGCCTACCAACACTAAAAAGAATTTTGGAGGGAGAGATATCCCTTCAAACATTTTTTAACAAAAAAATTGTTAATGTTTTGGGAATTACCCTTTGCCGCATCTCATATCCTACCATAAATATTCTACTCTCTTAATTCTTCTCCACAAAATCGGTGTGGAGCTGTGAATCGTGCGGCGGAATGATACATGCAAGCAAGACGGTCAAATATCAAATATAAACATGAGAAGGTGGTGATGCCACTAAGTGATACAGTGACATAGCACAACGGAGCCATACACTACCGGACCTTTATGTGCCAAACAAAATAAGAAAATATTTAGGATACAATTGCCATGCAAAAGGGTAGGTACGTAAGACATACCTAGGACTATATAAACCTATAGTCATAAAAATCCCCATATCGTCTCATTTCGTTCATAGACGTTGCACACCCTCACTCGTACACGGATGAACCGTCCAATCGTGAGACGATGTTTTGGAGGTGAATCTCCTACGTTGCTCTACATGACACGTCGGCACACTTTGACTACCTAAGGGCATCACCGATATTTACTACCTACTTTGTGAATACGGGTGGGCCCTGTGTCGGTGGGTATTAGTTGTTGTTGTAGTCACAATAGTGAAAGAACAAAAGTGGGTAGTAAGTTGGACCCCACAATCACTAGCCATGAGAGAAAATTGAGAGAAATCATTTGTTTATTTCTTATGTCTAGATAGTAAGCATGTTACCTGGTATTAGTTAGTTACTACTCTCACAATGTATATAACCTAATAGTAGTAGTATTTTATTTCTTACTACCCACTTTAGATGCACATTGTGGATACCCTAAGAGTAGGTACAATATAATGACTCAGCAGGCTCCAAAAAATTATACATCAGCAAAATCCTACGTGAAAGGAAGAGAATCAAGGAGAGAGAATGAAGCGAGTGACTAAGGTAGTGTTTGGCTCACAAAAATTTTAGTCCTATAAGAGAGACTAAAGTTTGGTCCGTCCTACGCAGACACCACCTAATTTTGTCGCTGGCGGCAGCACGGTTTCTCACGCGCATATCGCTCGCAAGCAGTCAGCACGGCCGATAGGAAATAGCTTTTGTGGGCCCGCACCAACCCTACCTGATCCCGTGTGCGTTTTCCCTTTCTCTCCCCACTCCGGTAGTCCGGCCATCTCGCTGGCTCGCCGCTTCATCCCACTCCGCACGCCAAATCCATCCAGAGAAGCATGTCAGATCGAGGGCGAGGAGCAAATCCGCGCGTTGGACGAGCGGCGGAGGCGTCTGTCCTCGCCATCGTCGCCGCCTTGGGGGCAAGAAGATGAAGCACATGAAGGCCATCCAGAGCAGCAGCGAATTGGGGTGGAACATCCCGTCTCTCCATCGCGGATGCCGCAGTGGTAGTCGTCTTCGTCAGAGTCCGTTGATCAAAGCCGTGGCTGTGGCCCATCAACTTCCCATTCGTGGTGCTAGTCTTGCACAAATAGAAATCAACTGAAGCCAGATGTTGAGGAGTTGATGAAATTCATCTTATCTAGTAAACCATTGCTTTGTTTACACAACTCTTCCAGTCTTCCTCCACAACACACCTTTATCCTTTTGTTCAGAAATCAGAATTTGTTTAGATCTTGGTTCAGAATTTGTTCAGTAATCAGTACTTACTTCGTTGGAACGGTCCGAATTTTCTGGTGTCTGATGGCTTATTCAAATGGTCACAGGGATAGCGTTCACTCTTAATCCGATATGTTTGATATGTGCATGAATATTTAATTGTTTAAATGATAATGTGCAGTCAACATAGTAGCCTATCAATTATACTAGTTGATTTTGGTGCTATCTATAAAATGACATGGAGGTAATTGAAGTTGGCAGTGGACTGTACTATTGACCTTGCTCTAAGGCAAGTAGGGCACGATGATATGTCCGGGTGTCACCTTGATTTTCGTTATATAATGATTTGTAATTAATTTAATCTGAATACTGAAGTTTTTTTTTATAGATCAAATTTACTGATAGAGCATGAATTTCCATTCTACTCTTTATGATTCCAAGTTAGCAGAACCAGAAGGATTTGCTTTGGCCTCCTTTTGGCTTTGAAATGAAGTACCCAGTAATCACTATCCTTATTGTCAAAAAAATCCTTATTGTCAAAAAACAGTTTTCTGTTTATCTTGTTTCCCAAAGTTCTAAACCATTCTTGCCGGCACATGCATTCTTTATGACCCCAAATTTAACACGATGGATTTGAAATTCGAAAAATTATCCTCACAATCTTTTATCACCCACACCTTAATTTTCTGGCCGTCGTGATCTGTATCGCTCTTTCCGCTGGCCCACGAAACAGCACCCGGAATTCGCTACTCGCGCGCGCGCGTGGCAGCTGACGTGGCGAGTACTGGTGGGGTCCAGCTATCCCGTTCCGTTCTGTTTTCGTAGCGTAGAAGAGAAGAAGACCCCACCCACAGGTCGGTCCCCCACTCCCCCCTGATGAGTGTGGGCTGGGCGTTTACTTCCCGAGAACTAGCCGTTGCGCTGCCGACCGTTAGTCGCCAATGCGCCGCTCGCTCGCTTTTCAAACCTTCCTTCGTTCGCCACGAGCTCCCGTTTTGACCACCGCATCCTCCTCCACCGGCGCCGCCACCTCCGCTCCGCACGTCGGCCATGGTCGCGAGGAGCCCCGACGCCAGGCGGTCCAGGCAGACGGCCGCCGCGGCCGCTGCCGCCGCGGCTCTCAACCCCGCCCTCGTCAGGGAGACCCTCAAGAAGGTGAGCGACGGATTCGGTGGGGATGGGGAAACCCATGGGGGTGAAGGGTCGAGCTGATTTTTTTTTTTGTTCGTTCGTTGGCAGGTGGACAGGTGCATGGCGCGCCTGCAGGAGCTGCAGTACACGGTAGCCGGCGGCGCCAAGGTGGTCTCCGGCGTCAGCCTCAGCCCGCGGAGCACGCGCGGGTACCTCCGCACCAGCCTCCGCTGCAAGCAGGAGACCGTCAGGCAAGTGCTCGACCCTGATCCCCTGTAATTTCTTGGCTCTCCGGTGCGAATTCATCTGATTCGCGGCTAAATCTTTCGCTCTCGGATGCTGTGCACGTCGGCAGGATGAGGGCCACACCGGCGCGTAAGACATCCCCCAACGGCAAGTTCGGCGGCAGTGACGGCGGCGCCACCCAGTGGCGGCGGATGTCGCTGCCGGCGATGCTGCTTGGCGAGACCGTGCTGGAGATCGTCCAGGCCAGCAAGTTCGCGAGCGACATTGTCGCCGTCGTGGACGCCGGCGCCAACAAGAACAGAGAGGCCCCCAAGACCCCGAACCCCGTAACTAGGACAAGGAAAGTGAACGCCGAGGCGACTCCGCTGCGCGCCCGCCGCGCCAGGGAGAAGCAGAGCCAGCGGGGCACCGCGCGCGCCGAGGCAAGCACGCCGCCGTCGCGCGGCCGCGTGCGGTCCCGCATCCAGTTCAAGCCCGCCTCGCCGCTCGGGCGGCCGTCGGTGTCCGCAAACCGGGTTTCCCCCAGGAACAGGCCATGGGCCAAGAAGACAGTGATGTTCCCCAACCCGGCGTTCCTCGCTTCAACCTCCTCCGCCGCGTACGACTCGCCGTCGCCGTCCAAGAAGCAAAAGCGATTCTACAAGACTCGTTCCCCGATCATCGCCAGGCAGACTCCGCACAAATTCCTGGTCAAGTCGCCGCCGAGCTCGCTTGGGTCCAAGCTCAAAAGCCATGGCAAGCTTCTCCCTTCAAGGCCATTCACCGTGTCGCCACCTGGCAAAGTGCAAGTGGCGGCGGCGGCGGCATCGGTGTCCAAGACCCGGCGCTGCACGTTCTCGCCGTCACGTTTGGTATCACGGCTCGTGTCATCGCCAGGCAAAGCGCAGGCTGCGGCGTCAAACAACAACAACAACAAGGGCCGGCGATGCTCGTTCTCCCCGTCACGGTTGGCGACAAGGCTCGTGTCGCCGATCAAGGCGAGGTTGTCTCTGAACAGGAGCCGGGACGGTGGCGTCCATGGCGGCGGCGGCATGGTGTGCGGGCTGAAGCAGCGACCGGGAGTCAGCATGACGGTGCGGACGGTGTCAAGCAGGATACCATCATGATGCGATGATGAATTGATCTTGGCTGGGTGGTCTTCACTCTTCGGCGTCTTGCGAAGACGATGAGATCGATGGCCTGGAAATTGCAGAGAGGGAGATGATTTGAGCTCATTTTCTGCCTAATAAGTTGTTTGGCTGAGGTAATCCTCTCTTGGTTGCTTTGTAAATCGTCAAAAGATAATGGTAATCCTCTCTTGCTGCTTGTACATCATCATAATACAATACAGATTGGTCTGCTCGACCGTACAACCCAAAGGAAAATTCAGTATCATATTCATATCGTAGGGTGTCACAATCTGTAGCCTTTTTTCAGCTAAAGATACTATTCACCTTCCAACATTTTCATGCTGATGCCGCGCAAAAAAATGTTTTGGAGTAAATGTGGTGAAAATCAATCTCCGAGAGGAATGATATAAACGTGGCGGAAGCAATCATCGGTAGATTTGAAGTCATTTTTAGGGCATGTTTTATAGGAAATGTGATTGTCACCTCTAATATCATCCACATCATCAATTAATTTATTAGGGGACAGATCATAGACCACATTGCCTCTAATATGTTAGATTCAATGCAACATAACTATTTATTTTATCCACTCTCAGCCAATCAATCTTACTCTTTTATCTTTCTTTATTAAAATTTACAAAGAGGGGTGGCTCATCCTCTCTCTTCTCACTTCTCTCCACCTCGTCATTTAAGCTTAAGTGGCATCTAGGGTATTGTGCTTAGATGCTTATAGCACTTGCCCTTACCATGTTTCCACAAGTCAAATTGCCTAATGCCCTCTTGCCTAGAGAGAGAGCATACTTGGATATATTATTCTTATCGCGTCATGTCCTATTTCCCACTTGTAACTCAAAATTGTAAAATAAACCGAAAAGAACCAGGTAGAGAAGAGAACATCTGTTTTGTTTCTGTTTGAATATCTCTTCTCTACTATTATAAAAATTGAAGATGTTTTTGCTCAAGTACTTTGGTATGTCATCCGTGTATGAATCGGTTTTTAATTTTGTTTGTTTTTTAAAATACATATCCGCATTTTGGTCGGTTTTTAAGTTGTTTGCTTTTGGAAATACAGAAGGAGTCGTATAAAAAATCTCTCTATAAAACATATTCGCATGCTATTTGAGACGATCGGACTGTAACTCACGATTTTCTAAAAATATATATATCCAAGTGAATTCCCACAGTGAAATTTCGCCTTAACTAAACCATATAACATTAATAAGATTTAAATATTCTTCACCCGCTGCAACACACGGGTATTTTTTTCTAGTCTGTTTTAAAATTTGCAAATCGTTAGGGAGCCTAATGGGCAGAATCCTTCTGACTAAGCCCATGTTCTGGTTAACTCTTCTCCATTTTCCGATAGGAAAAAGTGCACTTGAGGTTCCATGAGCATGAGCATGCGTAGGAGGGGTAGGGCTGCACACTACGGCTAGGTGTTACAATGGTTCGGCGTCCTCTACAGTGACATCGACACGTCACCACTATATGTCTACTCCACTACCTTCGACGTGAACAAAGGTGGCATTCGGCACACTGACGACCTTCTTAGCGTCATCTCCCTCATCATCTACAGCTTCCTCCTCTTCACCATCATACGTCTATATCACCCTCTGTGCCAACAACGACGACGACGGTGGCACCTTCGCCCTCTACTCCCTCATCTCCAGCCATGCCAAGGTCAGCCTTGTCCCCAACCAGAAGGTCGAGGATGAGCTATACATGAGCAAATCCTCCTCGCTCAGTAGCCCCTCGGTGCAGCGCCTCGTCTCAGGTCGCTAAGGCTTCTCAACCGCGTCACTGTCAGCTCCAGGTCATCGTCGTCATGCACCTGCCCCTACCCCGTGCCCCTGTCCTACTGATCTCCTCTCTCCCGCTCCCCCTACACCGCCCCAAATCCCCACTCCCGTCACCTAGAAACTCTACACTTCTCTCTCAAGCGCCGCTCTCGTCGCATCACTGTCATCTCGAGTGCCTCCACCGCCTCCTCTTCACCACGGGTGGATAGATAACTCTCCGACTCACCATGGCTGATGCTTACACCGCCTTTGTTGCGCAGACTACATCTACTTCCATTGTGTTGGCGTGCGTTGGTGGCCGATTGCAGGTGGCGGCCGCTGTCCTTGGCATCGTGTGATACGACCCCGGTAGGGGTGATGTCCCGATCTTCACGGTGTAGGATCACGAATAGATAACTAGCCTCAAGAAGACCAAGATAACTAGCTGCAAGCAGCCAAGATAACAGTGCAACCTGACAATCGTACTCGAAACCAAGCACCGTCTCTATTACACAACCTGAATCGAGGGTTCGCCCAACCACACTCTAAGTTTACCAACCAACACAACCTGGAATCAATCAAGATAATTCCTCTAAGGGACCAGGAGCACCAATTGGGGGGCATCGAACGCCGCTTTTGTAATCTCACAAGGAAATCACAAGAGCAAAGGGGTAGAGATCTCTCTCTGAATTTGTTAGCACACAGCTGAACAAAAGGGGTTCATATTTTCATTGTCAAAAGTCTCCTAAATGATAAAACATAGGGGATATCCTATATCCTATATATCTATATGAGTCATCCCCACTAAGTGCAATTAAAACTAATTTCCTGTGCTGTGGTTGTTCCACGTCATCTGAAATATTTTTCACCGTTGGATCAGAGTTCTGCCGTGAGATTGATTAGATGGATTCGCTGTGTCAGTCTCTCAATCCAGCAAGCTAGCCCAGATCAAAGGCCGAACGTGGGCCTGTTGCAATCAAGTCTAGCCAATACCAGGTAAACACTACTGGCCCAATCAATGGACATAGTGCATGCGCTCCCTGACCTCTCGGTTCTCCATTGTTGATCGCTCCACTCCCCCGCTGAAACCGAGAAGAAAATAATGCAGCATTCCCTGACGGTCGAACTGCTCATTTCCTCCATGCGAGTTGGCCAGCCGCAAATGAAGGAAACTGAAGGCCACCATAATGACAGCCATGCTTTAATCACACCACACCCATTCAGTGCTTCCCTATCATAGCTTGGATTTTGGGGTCATCCTCTCCTCTCGACTCTTCACTCCAGTCTCCATCGATTGTAATCTATACAGGTTGCTCCTCCTCTCAAGAACCGTGGAATTTGTTCTGCGTCATCGTCGAAGCGTGTTAATTCGCACTGGCATTGTATAGCATTGTTGTTCTCACTCTTGCTCCTTCATCGATTTTGATCTGCAGCTACCGCATGTTAACCTTTATTTTTCCCCCAAGGTTCAGTATTTTTTTGGGACACCGTGCAATGTCAGCATCCCCCATTGGATTTTCAAAGCACATTTTTTCCCTAATAGCAACGAAGTTTATGAGATCCCCTTTCTTTCAATCTCTCTACCTCATTTTTTTACCACCAATGTGAGTTATATTGTCCTTTCTCAATTTTTGCTGATTTGAGTACATTTGAAGGATTCACTCTATTTCCATATTTTAGCACAATATATCACTTCTTTTCTTTCTAATGATGTATTGGCAACAAGTGATTTGATCAAGCACAAAGGAAGAAAGCAAGCATGCAACTGATAACCATCTTCAACAGTACTATACAGGATTATAGGTATTTTATTACTAGCCAGTTCAGCACTATACAGGATTACATGTATTTTATTATTAGCCAGTTCAGAACTTCTATTAGCTGGATTTCATCATCCTTTCACTAGGTATTGTCACTGTTCTTGAATACCTCACGACATGTTAATGTATGAATTTTCTATGCTCTCTGGATCAGCCTTTTCCTTGGTAAAGGATTCCATGCATCAAAGGTTGTATTTTTTTTATTCATAAAAAGTATAAACTCAACGGCTCTGCGAGGAAACTTCTGATATGTTCACCCAAAAAGTGTGCAGCAGTGCAGTATGAGATAATTTAAATCGATGTTTCAAATGGTTACACTCTCATTGATAACCTCTTTTTGCCAAAAAAAAAATTAAACATATATGATTTGTCCAATGTTCAAATAAAATAATTTGTTCAATATAAAAGTTATGTTCCCTCAGTTTTACAGTTTGCAGCTATTTCTCTCTTTTTCTTTGCAATGGCCTCTATAATATTCCAGCTTGCTGCAGCCTACATTATTGGTTCTTTGATCAAGTTATCACTAGCTGCTGTCCTGGATATTAATAGGTCAGTGTACTGAGACTTATGTAAACAATTTTTGGAATAGATCGGTGAATAGCATGTTTATGAAAAAAAAAAAACCTGAAATCACTTCTTGGTTCATTCTTCAATTGTTGTTCCATGTGCTTTTTTGTTTATAGTTGTAGATACCTATATCACAAATATTTAGACATAGTCCCGCAGCAACGTGCGGGGTATCATCTAGTTTATACCAGGAACAACCCTCCTAGATGAGAATGAAAAGTCTTGGGAGTTTACTGGACATAGGCTAGCTCAAAGGTCATAATAAGTGAATTCCCGAGAAGACTCGCGCGTCTGTTTGGCTTCTGAGTAGTCTTCAATGATTTGTCCATAACTCCTTAGTGGGAAGTCGAAATGATGAGCCGTTTTGTTGGAGGTGAAACTAGACTTGATTATCCTTCCAACCATATATATTGAGCATGGAGAAAGTTGACTGGTTGGGTCGCACAAGCCTTTGAAGTTGAGCCTTTTGCAGCGTAAACCATCTTTTGACGTAGACAACTACAGGTTTGGCATGGACTGGTTCCTCCTCGATGTAACCCTTATTGTCCTCAACGTAACCCATCCTTCTTGGCGTGGTGATGATGTCCTCGGGTGTAAACTTGAGCAATACAAATGTAGAGCATTTAGGTAGTATAAAATTCTCACAAAAATTTGGATTAAGTTAAGCAAAGAGCGAGTTCACCTCTTGTTGTATTTTCCTAGCACGGCTGCGTGTAATTGGACCATGATATGCTTGATCGTTCTTGTTGAGACATAATCCATCAACATGATTTACGTCATCTTCATTTCCACATGTGACTTATGACGTAAACCATCACCCTTATTTACATCACCCTTGTTTACGTCAAGTGTAGCTGGGATGTGCTTATCATCATATGACGGGGGTTGGGGCATATCATCGTGCCAGCCTAGGACAGGAGGCCAACACGTAGGTATGAGTTCATCCGCTGAACCAAACCGGCAGAAGCTTCACTAACATGTGGGTCCCACATGGATTTTATTTTCTTTTTAAAATTTTGCTTTTTTGCCACGCCAGCACCACGTAGCTAAAACTGGGAGCAATACACCTTGGAACCTAATGTGACATGGGTTTATAAGATTAGGGA